AGGTTTGCTTTGTGTGATGATTTGATAAGAAATATGATGTAAATGTTGATTTGATGATGTTTGTATGCTATAATGCATGTTCTATATGATAAGGCGGTGTATTTTGATGATGGTATGCGATATATGATGTTTGTACTGTATTTTGTACTAAGATGATGTGAAATCGAAATTGGAAGGGAGCTGGAACATTGCAGAAATTGCAACTAAGAAGTTGTTGTTTCGCGAGCATCGTTGAGCGAGCCAGCAGCGAGCATGGTAGCGAGCAGAGCGCCCCAGCATCACCGGGTGAGCTAGTTGGTGAGTGAGATGGTGAAAAAGGTGAGCTCCTGGAAAGTGTATGGAGTGGGACACGTCGCCAGAATGTCGTCAGGAGAGTAGGTGGCGAGCTGAGTGCTTCCAACATCATTGGGCAAGACAACCAGCAAAAGTATTGGTAGAAAAAGTGAGCTCCTGGAAAATGTGGGGAGGGGCTCGTCGCCCCAACATCGTCGAGCGAGCACCAGGCGAGTAGAGCGCCACTAGCATCGTCGGGTGAGCCTTAGGCAAGCAGACCTGGCAGTATCTTTCAGAGGCTGTAACTTGAGTTTCAGGAATTTGCTTGACGCTTCGTTCGAAGTGTTGGGAAGCTAACACTCAGAACTATATTATGACAGGGTTATATGAGTTGTTTTATGCATGATTCTAATGCCTATTTTTTAATGAGATTGATTTATTACATGTTTTTTATGCTTTGAGGTTCTAGTTGTTTTAATGAAGAATATGATGTTATTGTGAAGTTGTTATGAAGTTGATACAATGTTGTTGTTGTGATATGATTAATGTTATCTGTGATGATATTTTAATGATGTGCATGTTAATGTGTATTACATGATATGTGATGATTATTATGTGATTGATGATGCTATTGACTAGCCGTGGTTAAATTTTATGTGATGTTGTTGTGCATCATACATTCATAGCATTATTTTGGACGGTGGTCCGCTACTTTTGGACAATGGTCTGCTTGTGACGAGCCTCAAACCTATTGTGTAGATTGAGTGTGTTTATGATATGCTCCGGTTCCAAGAGCGGATTGTTCTTATGATGGGGATCTTTGGAGGGTAATGAACCAAGTGTTTATAAAATTTGGGGCCACATTATTGAGTCAGTTGTGTTGTATTAACATCTTATGTGACATTATATAAATTTTGTCGATGAGTTGTGATAAGATGATAATTGTGAACTATGTGATTATATGATGTTTTGATGAGAAAGAAGTATAAGTGATATTAGGATGTATTTGTGAGTATGAAGTATTGATGAATAGTATGTGTTGTCATGCGGTGAGGTTGTTATAACTACTAATCTTTTCTTTATATCTTTTATAATGAATCATGATTACTCACCCTTTCTGTTTGAATGTTGTCTCCATATGGGTAACGCTCAAATGATCAGGAGTAGTTCGTAGAAACGTCTATGATAGATTCAAAGTGTTTTATTTAGTTTTCTATATTAGTGGTGTCTTGCTCTGGTATGTAACATCAGGTTGGAAACGCTTGTTATGCAAATTTTTGTGTTTTCTGTTGTTAATGCATTTTATGAGTATTTTGAAGACATGAGATTAGTTTTGATTTCAGCTTTTGACGAGACTATAATTATTATAAGTTTATTTTTATAAAGAAGTTCATTATGACGATAATTTCTGCTGTGACGAATTTAAATAATATCATGAATTATATTTATATGCATGTTTGACATTGATGTAACCCGTGTTACGTAGCAGGATTATTATTATGATGTTTTCTATGAAGTGTGACACTCTTGAGCGGTGACTTTTATTCGATTAAATTCGTAAATTATATGAAAAATACATGTGGGATTAGGAGGGTGTTCAAACACCAACTCAATTAATTCATGGGGAAGTTTATGGCTTGGATTAAAAGCTTATGTATATGGTAACTATCATTTATGCCTATAATAAACTTGAGCAAAGAAGAACTCTTTGGAATGATATTGAGGAGATACGAGGGAACGTGGCCTATCCTTGGACTATCATAGGGGATTATAATAATGTTTTTACTAGTAATAACAGGGCTAGGGGAAACTCATTGCAAGTAAGTGAGTACAAAGACCTTGCTGATATGATGCAAAACCTTGGCACGTTTGAAGCTTTGACCAAAGGCTACCACTACACTTGGCCAAATAAGAGAAGCCAGAATACCATTTATTCAAGAATTGACAAGATGATTGGTAATGTGCAATGATTCCAAACTTATCAAAATGCCATTGTGGAAGTGACGGTTCCTAGAATTTCTGATCATGTACCTATTAGATTTAGGACAAGCACACATATATAGTTTAGAAATACCATTTTCAAATTTCTTAACTATGTTACTCAAGGTACCTCTTACTTACAATTAGTTGCTCGAAGTTGGCAAGAAAATATTAGAGGATCTGCAATGTAAAGATTATGGAGAAAGCTGCTTAGGCTGCAACCAATCATTAAGCCTTTAATAAAAAAGTGACTGATATTTAAATCCAAATTCAACAAGCTAGACAAGATTTATTGCAGGCCTGAGAGAACCTTAATAACAATTTGTTTAATAGCCAAGCTATTGACCAAATTAAGCTTTGCAATGATCACCTGATCCAACTGGATCAAGTTGAAGAATATGTCCTTACGCAAAAGGGGTACCAAACTGTCTTGGGAGAGTGCTCAGAAACTGATCAGACCAATTGATGACCAGGAAATTTGGAATGCTATTGTAACCATTGTAAATAGCAAGGCTCTAGGTATTGATGGTTTCAACTTTCTTTTTCAAATCTGTTTGGACTATTGTGAAACATGATGTGAATGAGGCTATTTTGGAATTCTTTCAAACCAATGACATGTATCTGGCTGTCAATTGTTCACTTGTCAAATTAATTCCAAAAACCTCTGAGGCTACTACCATCAAAGATATGAGACCTATTTCCTGTTGTAGCACTATCTATAAAATTATCTTAAAAATCATCACAAACAGGCTAGGTGAAGTTATCCATGAAGTAATTGATGAGAGCCAATCAATTTTTGAGCCTGGGAGAGTAATTCATGATAACATAATGTTGGCCCAGGAATTATTTAGAGAGTATAACATGAAGAATATATCTCCTAGATGTATGATCCAAATGGACATACAAAAGGCTTATGATGCAGTTGAGTGGTCTGCTATAATTCAAATCATGACTGAATTTGGTTTCCCTCAAACTTTCATTGATTGGATTATAACATGTGTAGTAATTGTATCTTATATGTTCTATATTAATGGTGTTCCCTCTAAGATTGTGAAAGTAAGAAGAGGCTTGAGACAGGGTGATCCTATCTCACCTTTTCTTTTTGTTATGATAAGGGAATATCTCTATAGAACTATGCAAGGTCTTGATCTTATCCCTAATTTCAACTACCACCCAAAGTGTGACAAGCTATGGATCTAACGGATACATTTTTACTACATCAAAATAGAGATGTGCCAACCTTCCAACTAGTCATGCATAGCTCTTGGGTCCTTAAAGCGATGTTCAAGCATAAAGATGTTTGGATGCAATTGGCCACTTGGGGGGATTTTCAAACTTCAGGAAAATATTTGACTCGTGAGATGTATAAGATGTTGTAGGGTGTTAAACCCAAAGTGATTTGGAGAAAAATGTTATTTGGAAACATTGTTAGACCAATAACTATGTTTACACTATGGATGGCATGTCAAATGAGATTACCAACCAAATATAGATTGAGTAAAGTCGGGATTGTAACTGATGGTATATGCATATACTGTGGGGAACATGAGACTTGCAATCACCTATTTTTTGAATGTGAAGAAACGAAGAGGGTCTAGAGCCAAGTCCTAGCGTGGCTGAATTATAATCATGTCTCTCAAATATGAGATATAGAACTGTAATGGTGTAGTATCAATACGAAAGGCAAAGGTAGAAAAGTTAATACGTTGAAATGTGCCTTAGCTGGAACCATTTACTAGATTTGGATAGTTAGAAACCAAACTATCTTCCATAAGCGGGACACTAAGGAGTTCTGGAGCACGAAGATAATTCAAAATGTGCTTTGGCGTGCAGAGACAAATCGAAAACTAGCTAGATTTTGTATGAGAAATGTAACTTGAGTTGTTCGGATGTTTGTGTTGATCTTGTATGTTTGTCTTTTTGATTGGGTCTGGATCTTCAGATCAACTTGTGTATTATCAACTTTTTGAAATAAAATTATTATATTTGCTCCAAAAAAATATGACAAGTGTGCCTAAATATCAGTAATGAGTGAAAATATGAGAAAATTACACATGTGTAAGACGGAATTATACATTTGTCATATTTTCATTCGAAAATAGTAATTATCACACCTAAAAAATTATATATATTAATTTATTATTTTTTATAAATTTTATTTAATTTATTATTTATTATGGATTTCGGTGGAAAGTGTGTTGCTATAATTATGGAAGTTTGAAAAGGTATCCTCTTTTTTTAACGATTTTATAAAATGATTTATTTAATTTTAGTGGTTTATAAGTAATGGAAGTTGCTATAATTATGGAGGGAAGTTTGAAAAGAAAATTATAGCAATCTCATTATTTAGTTATTTAGATTTAATTATTAATTATTAAATTATTGAACTAATAAATAAATAAATAAATAATAGTTTTGGCGTAAAGTTTTTAAGGGAAACATCGTTGTATTATAATTTAGTATAGATAGATTCTAAGTTAAATGTAAATAATTAATCATACTTACAAATATTATTTAAAAAAAATAAAATTATAACCCAAAAATGAATTATCCCACTAGCAGTCTAGCACCGTTGATACCCTTTTTTTTCTCCTGCGCATACCCCGATATTAGCTTCACCGTACACTCTCACACTTTTTTCATCTTCACTCAACTCACACACACCTTTCACACCTCTTCTCCCTTTAAATACTCGTAACAAACTTCCCTCAAATTAATCACCACCTTCTCTTCCCTCAACTGTCACCATGTCCACCGCTAACGAAGATTTCCAAGGTATATTTTTCTTTCTCTACTATTTCGAGGGTTTCTTTTCGCAACGCTAATGAGAATAATGTTGCTATTTTGTTTTCTGATTATTCTTCGTTCGCTATCTATAGTTGTATTTTTTATGGAAGGATTGAAAATTAGGAACCCTAGGACATAAACCCTAATAGGGGAATCAATTATTGTTCCAATTAAGATATATCTCATTGTAGAAAATAGATGCATTTTAGGACCAAAACTGAAGATTTAAGTGGCAACGAGTGGCGTCTCGGCACGAGCTCTGGATTACTAGTTCCCATTCCCCTGAGAACCAGAGTGCAAGAGAAATAAAAACCAACGAGTGCCGATTTAGGTTTCATCTATTGTGCCTGCTTACACAAAAAACAATTTTCATGGGGCAGGGGATAATTTGTTTTCTTTATTCAATATACTGGTTGGCAGACAAACGAAACATAGACTTAACCTTGAAAAGAAAGCAAACTAGACCAAAATCACTAGATTTCTATGACATTCAATTCATGTTTTCTTTCTTTTTTATTCCCGTCAGGTGTTTCGAATTGTTATGTGTTCAAGAGCCGGTTGCAGGAGTATGCTCAGAAAGCAGGACTCCCCACGCCTGTGTATGAAACTATCAAGGACGGGCCTTCCCATGAACCTTGTTTCAGATCAACGGTGATTGTGAATGAAGTTCGGTATGATTCTTTGCCTGGATTTTTTAACCGTAAAGCAGCAGAGCAGTCAGCTGCAGAGGTTGCTTTGATGGAGTTGGCCAAATCTGGTGAAGTTAATCACTCCATCACTCAACCTGTTGTAAGTAGTCTTTACAAATTATGACTGTAGTAATAGAGAGTTATGAGTTTAGTGACTATTGGCGTTTTTTTTCACATTGCTTATGCTCATTGGGATTATTAATGTTTCTACTTTAAGGGACAAGTTGCATATTTATCTGAGATGTTCCCCATTCTATGTTCTGTATTGTAATATGTTACAGCTGCTCGGGTTATTTTATATATGCTGCCTCTGATCATTTTAATGATGTTTCTTCCAGCATGAAACTGGATTATGCAAGAATCTACTTCAGGAGTATGCTCAGAAAATGAACTATGCAATGCCAATGTATCAATGCAAAAAAGATGATACACCACCAGGTAGAGCACCGTTATTTTCATGTACAGTCGACATTGGAGGGATTCATTATGTTGGGGGAACAACAAAAACAAAGAAGGAAGCAGAGATAAAAGCCGCAAGAACTGCTTTATTAGCTATCCAGACAAATGCATCTCAGACTTCTCAAAACCAGTTTGGCCATTTGACTGTCATTCCATCCAGAAAAAGAGCAGCAGATTCTGTCGCTGATGAGGCTTCAAAAGCTCCAAAGCCTAAGAAAGCACGCTTTAAAAGGAAATTTCCCAAGAGGAAACCGTCTGAAGACAAGAAGCCTCGTGTTCAGACTGACAATACTGGCGATGGAGCAAATATCAATCACGGGATAGAATCACTTGCAACTGCTAATGATGAATCTGGCATTCAGGAAATCAAATCCGAAGCAATGTTCCCTTCAGAAGCTGTGAAGAATTTTGAGAATGGGATAGAGTCACTTGCAAGTGCTAATGATGAATATGGCATTCAGGAAATCAAATCCGAAGCAATGTTCACTTCAGAAGCTGTGAAGAATTCTGAGAGTGTGATAAAATCACTTGCAACTGCTAATGATGAATCTGGCATTCAGGAAATCAAATCCGAAGAAATTTTCCTTTCAGAAGCTGTGAAGAATTCTAAGAATGGAGTATCGACTAACCATCGTGAGAAAGAGACGATTATCCATCATGATGAATTTGGCATTCAGGAAATCAAATCCGAAGCAATATTCCCTTCAGAAGCTGGAGACGGGTCTTTTACTTTGAATAATCAAGAGGTTTTTGATAATGGGAAGTCAACAGAATTTCAACCCAAAGAGGTCAATCTTGAGAATGTTGTTACAGAAGTGTCGTTTGCGCCAAGTGGAGACATGCCAGCAAATGGAGACATACCAGCAAAGAGCGTTGAGATGATCGAACAACATTGTAATGGAGATATGGTCTCAGGCAATTGATTATATTGAGAATTTTTTGTTTTTTTTTTTACAGAAGAGAGGGGATCTGTGACTTTAAGTAGATTAATTGTTATCAATTAAAGATTTATAATGGAAGAAAGATCCAGTCAGGATCAGACATTCATTAGGATTGTTAGGACATTACGTTACATCTCAGGAAAATAGAATATAGGCTATGATATGAACCAAAGTAAGTTGATAATTTATAACTGATAAGGGTGTTTCAACTCTCACTAGATGAATTAGCTAATCCACAAAGGAAATTATATTTATTTGAATACATTTATAAGTAACAAAAAACTTTTTAGATTTATTAAATAATTGATGTATATGTTAGTTCTTAAATTTGACACCCACAACATATTGGTCTTATTGGCCAAAAAATAGATTAAAAAAATTTAAATTGGAGACACTTCGACAAGAAGAGTCTATTGTGTCGAAGTCATCCTTGTTAAGAAGGAGAAAACACTTAGAGAATTTTTTAAGTTAAAGTTGGTATTCGACCAAGTTTTTGTGGTCTTCAAACAAGTGAATTTTGAATCGGAAGAAAGGAGAGAAAGGCAGTTCACTTGGCAGTTGAAGAAAGCAACGTGGCATGAAGATAGAAGCCGAAGCACATGTAGAGGACACTTGTTCTCATCCTGGAGCGAGGCAATTGTTTGACGGTTACTTAGTTTTAGTATAATATAGGGATTTTATGTAGATTCTGTGTGTGTTCAACATATTGTACAAGTCACTCAATCTTATCCAAGTACCAATGTGAGAGAAAAGATATTGAGAATGTATTCGACCAAGTTTTTGTGGTCTTCAAACAAGTGAATTTTGAATCGGAAGAAAGGAGAGAAAGGCAGTTCACTTGGCAGTTGAAGAAAGCAACGTGGCATGAAGATAGAAGCCGAAGCACATGTAGAGGACACTTGTTCTCATCCTGGAGCGAGGCAATTGTTTGACGGTTACTTAGTTTTAGTATAATATATGGATTTTATGTAGATTCTGTGTGTGTTCAACATATTGTACAAGTCACTCAATCTTATCCAAGTACCAATGTGAGAGAAAAGATATTGAGAATGTACGTTTGAAACACCATCTTTTATTTCAATCAAAGTCTTTACAATTCCTTTATATTCTTTGCCATTTACATTCCTTCGCAAACTTTATCATTACTGCAAATTTACTTTATTTTGTCCTTCACTTGCACTTCTTATCATTTTTCAACATTTATCCTTAAACTCTTCTCAACCCTTTCTACTTATCTTTTACTTGCACTTTTATCAAGTTTTCGCGTGCATCTTGCCCTTACTCTTAATTTCACTTTCAACCCTTTTCACTTAAACTCACTTACTTATAAATAACTCAACATATGTCCTATGATCAATCTGATCGATCCTGCAAGTCACTAAAATAATCCATTTTGGAAGATCAGCGGTTGTTTACCAATTTTCACGGTAAACAAATTGGCACGCCCAGTGGGACGTTGCTGAGTTTTTTATTTTTATTTTTATAACTTTGATAAAAATAGTTTTCATCATAAATGCTTCAAGTAATTTCTTTTCTTTCAAAGATTATTGTATGTTATTAAGAAGTGACAAAACAACCACAAAAGAATACGTACCTAAGAAATAGTACAATGACTAATCAGTTTAGTGGAGAAATGCCTCCAACAATTCCTGGAAATGGAACTACGGTTATACCCACAATTAGTGAATCTTTGCCATCAACGACTGGTTCGATACCAGCAGTAACGGTTACGTAAATAGGATCGATACTTTCTTATGTAGGTCCTAGGGGTCCACCAGGAACACCCCCACCAAGGGAAATCCAGGAGTTTGACTCTATATTCCTCTAGGATTTTCGACATCATGGATGGGTCGAGACCAACCGTATGGCATGCCAACTACTGAAATGGCAAGTCTTATGAATGTTACGTCCATATTTTCAGACCATTTAGTGAGTGCATCTTCGCCATTGCAGAGATCTGGAACTGGTATGGAAAATTTGGATATGAATCAATTCTTAGGAGGAACATCTCATACGATGCCAAGCCTTACAAATGCTTCTACAGCAATTCTGAGGCAACAAATGGATCAAAGTAACCATGACATGGTGCAAATGTTGGCACAAACTTTGAGTACAATGCTAAACCCTCTAATACAAAATACCACCCAGTTGAATCAGCAAATGACAGTGCAAATGATGCGCGTGGCTGAATTTTTTGGGGTTCCCCAACCTATTCGACAACCCCAAAGAGAGCTGATAAGAGAAAATCAAGGTGTAGTCTTAGAGGATGACATGACCATTAACCATAACCCACAACCAGTTGGAATGAACCATAGAGTGGAAATCGAACAACCTAGAGCCGAAATACCCAGGGTTGTCCCACAAATCCCTAGAATTTCCGAACAAGATATAGTAATGGTAAATAGAAACTAAAATGCTGATGAGGTAATACAGCGGGTTCGACACCATAACTATGCGAGAGATAATAACTTGACATCCATGGTCGAAAGGATCATGGCATAGAATGGAGTGAACATTTGCTTTCATAGGCCAAACTTTACATCTCCATTATCTGATTATATCTTGCAAACAGATTTATCCCCTAGGTGGAAAGTTCCAAAGTTCACAAAGTTCTTAGAGGATACGACAGAGTCCACTGTTGAACATGTGGCAAGGTATTTGATAGAGGTTGAGGAAATTTCGAATAATGATAATCTTAGGATTAAGTATTTCCTATGTTCCTTAACCAAAAATGCCTTCACTTGGTTTACCACACTTCCAGCCAATTCGATCCATAATTGGAATCAGTTGGAGAAATTGTTCCATGAACAGTTCTATATGGGACAAACCAAAATAAGTTTGAAAGAATTGGCTAGTGTGAAAAGGAGGTTCACTGAGCCAATTGATGAGTATAAACAGATTTCGACTGCTCAAGGTCAGATGCTTTACACAAGTGCTGGAATATGAGTTGGTCGAAATGGCTGCAGGAGGTCTAGATTATTCCATTAGGAAGAAATTGGATACCCAATACCTGAGAGATATGTCCCAATTGGCTAATAGAGTTCGACAAGTAGAACGTCTTAAGGCTGAAAAAGTTAAAGCGAATAAAACTCATCGAAGAGAAAGGGTAGCGTATGTCGAAATGGATGATGACGATCCAGAGACATCTAATGATCCTATAATTGTCGATGAGAGTGAGATCGATTTAGCAGAATTAAAGCAAGGACCACCATATTTTGCAAAATGTTAACACCCTCAAATGGGAAGAATCCTACTGAATCAGAGAAGAATAATGATAGGTTCCAAAAGAAAACATATAGTTTCGACGTCACAAAATGTGACGAAATATTTGACTTATTAGTTAAAGATGGCCAGATGATAGTGTCCCCTGGGGAAAAAATGCCTTCTTTATATCAAAGGCAAAAGAGAGGTTTTTGTAAATATCATAATTTTTTGGCCTAAAACCTCACAATGTTTCCTTTTTAGGGATCTCGTTCAAGGCGCAATCAAAGACGGAAGGCTCAAGTTTGCTGAAAAACCATCCATGAAGATCGACGCAAACCCATTGCAAGTTGATGCCAACTATGTTGAACCTTCAAGCATCAACATGGTCGAAGTCTCAGCAAACTTCATCAACAAACCCGTCTTTGGCAGTTTCACTGAAGATGTTAGCAAAGAAGTTGTCGAAACGATACAAAAAAAGGCTACTGAAGGCCTAAACAAAGGGGCCACTGAATGTTTAAACAAAGGAACTGTTGCAGGTTCCTACTTGGCTGCTGTCACAGGTTCGACGGAGAGCCTAGAAGCCAAGATGCAAAAGCTGAATATAGCTGGTAAGAGAAATGTGAAAATCATTATGGTTGAAGTATCTGAACCTAAGGCTTCAGAAGATGCCATCAGACAAGAGGAAATCAACAAAACCGCGTTTCCTAAAGAAAACGAAAATCTGGCAGACTTTCTGCAAAGATGCCAGAAAAAGAAGTCAGAAGTCATGCTGTGCCCAAGATGCAGCTTTATCTTCGACAAAAAAGATGTTGAACACATACAAGGTATGCGTGCGGCAAAGAAGAAATGGGGCACCAATGCCCAACCCAATATGGATTCTGAGGTGAGATATGACTGTAGAAGGGGATACCAAAAGGGCCCAGTCAACCAAGTAAATAGGCCATCAACTTTCAGGCCTCCAACAAATGTCCCTGTGGATACCTGGTTGAAAACAACAAGCAGAAAAAGGCCCAACGAGGAAAAATGGAAGACATTCGATGTGCCAAGAGGATCCTCCTTGGCCTATAGAAAGGAATTTCAAATAACAACAAACAAAGTGGCTCATGTGTCGAGCAACTACAAGGGAAAGAACCCCATGACACGCTCTCAATGGAGGAGATATCAAAGACGACGAAAATCCCAAAGAGAGGCTATAGAAGAGTGCCAACCAGAAACAAGAACTAATGTGCCATAAAGAAAAGGAAAGGGAAAACCAAGAAAGTCTTTGGAAAGAGATCCAGTTTCCAGAAGATTGATGTGGCCTGGACAAAATGAATCAAAAGATGAATGTGATTTTGGGTCTGACGCTACACTAGATATCATGGTCAATGTGGTGTCAGTGTTACCCAGGGAGTATGACCAACGAGTCGAAGTCGAAGAGACTGACTGGGAGGTCAAACAGGAGATGGCAAAACATAGGCCAGTATGTTATTATGTTATGAACAACGATTGTGTCGAACAGCAGAATGCTTTCTTCGAATGCCCCTACTGATGAGATGAAGAATCACCTCAAACCCTTGTTCATAAGGGCAAAAGTAGGGGAAGCAACCATCAACAGAGTTTTGGTTGATTGTGGGGCTACAATTAACATAATCCCTCACATCATGCTGAAAAAGTTGGGCAAAGGATATGAAGACATCAAGCCCCATAACATGGTTCTATCGAACTATGAATGTGGAATTGGAACCACTATGGGAGTAATACAATTGGAACTCAAAGTGGGAACCATAGTTCGACCA